CTCTCTTCCCATGAATCTACAGTCCTCAGCTGTTCCCCATCTCCATGACCCCATCTCTGCCTCCGTCTCTGGATGAGGTCCATAATTCTGCTTGTGGTTTTCTCCCTTGATGGTCCTAGGGTCCTCTGTTTCTGGATTAACCACTCCCTTACAAAACTTCTACCTTTACAATTGTGACAGTCACAATTAGTCATGATAACAGTTATTCACTATTGAATCATACGAATTTTATCCCTGTCTCTTTTCACCAGACCCATCTAGACAAGACGAAAACTATTCAGTGGGGGCGCTTTCTCCCCGCCCCCCCCCCCCACACACACACATACACACTCTTAAGCTAAACTCCCTCTTGAAACCTTGTAAACCAGTCACTTCATGCCTTTATTTTAGGTAGCTAGTGTCTTAGTTGCCTGCCCCTATCTATCTGTGTACAGAGGAGATAGCATTGATACTTGATGGTGAAGACTCCTTCCCTCTTTCTTGGTATTTAGAGTGACTACCGCTCTGAGTATAGGTCAAGTTCATCAAAGTGTAGCAATTTACCCTTGCTGCCTTTATCCAAAAAAAAAAAAAAATTATTTTGTTGTCTTCCTCTAGTTGAGTTCTGATCATCAAGCCGTCGAGGCTAGGTCAAATGGGTACTGTGTGCAAGTTTGGGTGTTCTTGTGCATCTCCCCTCACTTCATATCAGCTGGATGCTTCACACAACCCTCTGTGGCTATGTCCTTGTCCATAGACTCAAGTGTCCCCAGGTCTCACTACACTTTGGACCAACCAGCCCTTCCTGTTCTCTTTCTCATCTCAAGGTTAATGGGAGTCAATGGACTGTGGTTGAACTCAGCCCATTTCTTCATTGCTGCCTTTCCCCCTCTTCCACTCACCCAGTAGACCAATGTGTTTGCCAGCAAGTTTACATGCCTGCTCATGTGTTCCCTTTCAGTTTCAGTCTTAGAGGAGCGTTTGTCCTGAAGGAATTTGATTGTTTGCCTTGATGGCTTCCCGGCAAACATCGTGCTTATTCTTGTAGTAGCCAGTCATGCTGACATTTTTGTTTTAGGTTTTTCTTGATGATCTTTCTTTGAATCTTCATCAAAGAGTATACCTAAGGTCCTATACTCTGCAAAGGCTTTGCAAGAGGCCTATTTCACTGGGCAAGTTCTAGAACCCCTTTTAGGTATTCCAATCAGTTATAGGCTGAAGACAGGCTTACAAGTTTTCTGTAATCATGTTTCCCCACATTCCTTTCAGTCCCAC